TCATCATTAAGATCACTCTTAATCCCGATGCTATTCCTATCAATCTCCACATGATCAAATATCTCCAAATTCGTTCTTATATCACAAACTAATCACTTAAATCCCCGTTAATAGTTGACCCTCGGTGTGTGAACAGTGCTATGTGAACAGTTCCATAAACAGTGTTCGGTGAATAGTAGTGAACAGTAACTCTAACTTCCAAAATTGGCCAAAACACTAGCTAATTCATGGGATTTTTCTCCAAAATCGCCACAACCCAATTCAAGCTAATTTTCTACTTAAACCACCCTTAAAAACATAGCTTAAAGCTGCCAAAATTCATTCCAATTTCCCGGACAAGCAATGGTCCCGGACAAGCAATGGAGACCCACGGCTTTGGCCAACAATGGCTAAGTCACGGGATTACTCCTACACAACATCACAGAAGCCCAATTAACATAATTCCTACATAAACCAAGCACAAAACACATTTAAAATGCTGTTAATTGCTACCGGAATTCGTCCCCATTTCCGGCACAATTCAGACACACACAAAGCAGCAATTAAATGGCTAATTTAGGGATTAAAGAAGTGGCCATCATACCAGAATTTTCCAGCAAGAACCAGAGCTGCAGGGGGGGAGAGAAGTCGGCGGCAAGCTGCAGGGAACTCACGGACTACCCAAAAATTTAGGGAAATAAACAGAAATTAGCATAACCCAGCCTAAATCAAGGTTAAAGAGATGATTTCTTGGCTGTGGCTTACCCGAAAATGCCCAGAAAATCGTACCCCAAACCAGCAGAAACTCACGGACCGAAGGGAAGAGGAAGGGAGAGCAGATCTGGAAATTTCTACTTCAAAGGGAGGGTTCTAGGTCCCAAAATCAGTTCTTTAACAAGAAAAGAAGAGAAAAATAGCAAGCTTTTGCCGATTCCTCAAGAGAGGACTGTCGGCAGCTTGGGGGCTTGTCGGGAGGAAGAATCGGGAAGAAGGAGAAGATAAGGAAGAGCAAAACACGTGGCTGAGGAGAGAAATATCAGCCTTGATCCTTATCCTAATTTCCTTTCTTTTTAGCCCCTGAACTTTGAAAACTTTTGCTATTACATTCATTAATGATATTTCTTCACAATTAGGTCCCTAACTCACTTTAATGCTCTAGAAAGTTTGGGGTATTACAATACCAGTGGGACAGTCACCCCCTAGGACACCCCGAGATATTTAAGTTTTTTATATTTCAATTAAATATTTGTATTTACTTTATATTTGTGGTAGACATTGGAGACTTATATATTTAGAGTAAATTAACAAAATTTTTTAGCATTTTATATGATAAATATCATAAATTATGTGAAAATAATTTTACATTATCAAATATATTAATTTAAATATCAATTAAATCCTTTATATGTAAGAAATATCGAATTAAATGAAATACTTATACATAGATCGGTTTCAATTAGCATAACAACCATAATAAACACACAAATGGCTGAGTGTCTAGTGGCCCAAACAAGCATATACGGACCGATGCGGGTCCGTATATATCAAAACCAACAAAGCCGACTGCAAAATACCCACAGTCAACTTAGTCAAAAAAACAGGATGTCGAAGCAATCCAGCACCAGTCGGCTTTCATTCCCCAGCCGGCTCACTTGATTCAAACAAGTATATACGGACTGATACCGGTTCGTATATAACCTATAAAAAATCAAGGCCTGTTAAGCTGGCTACAAAATTTTTACAACAGGCTCAATCCAAAAAAACAGAATGTTCAAGGCAATGCAAGACTAGTTGGCTTTCATTCCTTAGCTGGCTCAACCCAAACTAGTATGTACGGATCGATATCGGTCTGTATATATAACCATTAATATATACGGACCAGTATCAGTTCGTATATACATGGAGACCCAACACAGAGCCTCAATGGTATATACGTAATAAACACACAAATGGCTGAGTGTCTGGTGGCCCAAGCAAGCATATACAAACTGATGTCGATTCGTATATATCAAAACTAGCAAAGCCAGCTGCAAAATACCCACAGCCAGCTCAGTAAAAAAAACAGAATGTCGAAGCAATGCAGCACCAATTGGCTTTCATTCCCTAGCCGACTCACCTAATTCAAACGTCTGTGTTGGGTCTCCATGTTTATACAGACCGATACCAGTTCGTATATATTAACAGTTATATATACAAACCGATATCGGTTCGTATGTTTAGGTTGAGCCAGCTGAGGAATGAAAACTGGCTGGTGCTACACTGCCTTGAACATTATGTTTTTTTTACTAAGCCGGCTATAAAAATTTGTAGCCAACTTAACAGGCCTTGATTTTTTACAAGTTATATAAGGACCAATACCGGTCCGTATATCATTATACAGATCGGGATTGGTCCCAATATATACCCACCTGCAGCTTTTTCATTGTTTTCCTTATCTCATGCTCAATTCGTTATACTCTCGTTTTCAACCGTAACATTCCAAATGTTTGCGTGCCAAAGAGGTTAACCTTACCTAAAAAAATCAATTTTACTTGCTTGTGGCTCTGAAAGAACATTATGTAACTTTATATCTAATAACCTTATACTCATACACTCAAAGTTTTACAACGATTCTATCCCGCATCATCGTTAGATAATTTCAAGTAAGGAATCGATGGTTCCAGGGTTCCAAGAGACTATAGTGTCAATGTTCATGCAATTGGTTTTCGTCAGAACGGATTTGGGGCACGGGAAGATGGTGTCGTCCTTAAATGAAAAGAATAAAAAGCTGCACAGGGAGAAGTTTCTGGATTTTTTTGCAACTTATTTAGATAAAAAATGGTCTGAAAAATCAAAAGTGTGGAAGCTTCTGGATTATGTGATTATATTCCAACCAAAACCGGTCTGTATATATCTTTACATCGAATTTAATTTATTTTTATAATTAAAAAAAACCATACAAACATATATACAGACTAGGTTTAGTCCAATATATACCCACTTGCAGTTTTTTTATTGTTTTCCTTATCTCATGCTTAATTCATTGAACTCTCGTTTTTAACCATAACATTCCGAATGTTTGCTTGCCAAAGTGGTTAACCTTAACCAAAACAGTCAATTTTACTTGCTTGTGGTTCCAAAAGAACATTATGTAACCTTATATCTAATAACCTTATACTTATACATTCAAAGTTTTACAACGATTCTGTCCCGCGTCATCATTAGATAATTTCAGACAAGTAATCGATGGTTCTGGGGTTCCAAGAGACTGTAGTGTCGATGTTCACGCAATTGGTTTTCTTAAGAACGGATTTAGGGTACAAGAAGATGGTGATGTCCTTAAATGAAAAGAATAAAAAAGTGCACAGGTTCTAGATTTTTTACAATATATTCAGACCAACAACGATCTGAAAAAATGTGAGCGGCATATAAAATACGTAATTTAATTTATCTTTATAATTAACAAAGGTTTACTTATATATACAGACTGATACCAGTCCGAATATAACCGATTAGGTCTTGCCTTTGGAAATTTTCACCAAAAGTTAAACTTTTAGGATTGGCACGTAATTATTTATTTACGGATCATTTTCGATCCGTATAGTTTGCCACCAAATTTTTGTTGTGAATTAAACTTTTTGGTAATTTGCGGATTGATGTCGATCTGCAAATGTTTGCCTCCTAAATTTTCAGCAAAGTTGAAGCTATCCATTGGCAGTAATGTGACACTTATTTGGTATATTCGGACTGGTTTCGGTCCGTATAAAACCTATATATAACCAGCTCCCTCTCATTCTTTTCCTCATTTTCTCTTCTTCTTCTCTTTCTTTTTCTTCTTCATCTCCTCCGTTTCTCTTCTTTCTCATTTCCTTTCTCTATTCCTTTTACTCTTTCTCCATTCCTTTTACTCTTTCTCCTTTCTTCTTACTCTTCCCCTTTTTTTCCTCTCTTCTTTCTCTACACTTCATAATATTCTTTCTCCTTTCTCCTTTCTCCTTTTCTTACTCCTCTTACTCTTCCCCTCTCCTTCATGTTTTTTTTTCCTTTAGTTTTTTTGTTTTTTCCAATCTTTTTTATTCCACTCTCTTTTTTTTTTTTTATCCATAATATGTTTTGTTTACTAACTTCTTTTTATCCATAATAAGTCTTTGATTTTGGTATA